ATGTTGTTGTTGTTGTTGAGGCTGTTGTTGTTGTTGCTGTTGTTGCTGATGTTGCTGTTGTTGGGCAAATATAATAATTGCAGATGCTGCTAAAGGGGCAAGCATGGCAGACGCCAGTAAACAGGCGAGTTGTCTCACAGGCAGATTTTGGGCACGCTGTTTGACAGGCATGTATCGAAGACTGTCGTTTTGACGGATAAAGACCGCAGACGCCGTTTGACGGATAATCATTGTCAACGTTGTTTGACGGATAAACACTGCATACGTTGTTTGATGGATAAACATTGCAGACCGTCGTTTGACGGATAAACATCGTAGACTTCGTGAAACAGAAACCGATAGTGGATGCTGTAGCACAGTCCGCCATCTTGGACGCACCATCTTGGACGTGCCATCTTGCAAGCCGCTCAATCAAAGGTCGTACACAACAAGGTTATTCACTCAGCCAAAAAAGCATCGAATACGCTGTTTCAACAGACTAGCACATCGATACTCTTGCCTACATGAAGTACGCATCGATACACAGCATCATCCATCCCCTCTCAGAATCATCTTTCTCCGAACACGAGAGAAGAGACTGGAATTATAATCATAATAATAGAGGGGGAAACAAAATCCCAAGAAAGATTTGTACGGTACATGATAGCAGGATATTATAAAATTCTCAAACAAGAAGTGTTTAGAACAAAAATTTCAGCAGCTTTTGTCACTGTCATAGGACGTCCGATTTCCCGCTTTGTCCGGACATACTCCTGTGGTAGCCTTTGCTGAGCCCTTTGGCGCCATGGTCCTTCCGGTGTTTGGAGCTGGAGGAAAACTCGTAGATGTTGGAGGTGCGGTCACTGAACTCTGACCTGTCGTCCAGGTCGTCGTCAGAGGAGCGGTTTCGCCAGCTGAGGTAGCCTCCTATGGCGATGACGTGGAAGAGGAAGCCTCCTACTCCGGGGAGGGCCGGCGCCCAGAGCAGCTCAAACTGCTCTTCTTCTAGCTTGACGGAGAAGATGATGACCGCGATACCCGCGGCTACGCC